CATCACCCCCCTCACTCCATCACCCTCCTTCGTCTCACCATCACCCTCCCTCTCACCATCACCCTCCCTCCCCCATACCATCACCTCCTCACACACACAGCTTCCCCAGACACACTGTCAGCATCCCCTCACACTGTCACCTCCCCACACATTGTCACCCCTCCCTACACTGTCATCACCCCCCACACTGTCACACACACTGACACCGTCTTCATTCATCCACACTCACATTAACCACACTAATCCTGTTAATCTCACCCCTCCAAACTCACCTGCCCTCACTCTGCCATACTCACCCTATCACATGAGCCCCCCTTAATCCTGTCACACTCGTCCCTCCTACCATGCCACAATTGCCCTGACACACTTACCTCCACGCGCTGTCACACTCCCTCACAAAACCATGTCATACTCCCTGTCCCTCATTCTCTCTCACACACCCCCACCCCACCCTGTTCATTTACCCCCTTCACCCTGTCACACTCTCCCTGCCACTGGTACCCCTTTACTCACCTTGTCACAGTCACCAGCTGAAAACATTAATCATATACACACAGTCAGGAAACATAGCTTTGGCAGACCCAGTGGCGTACATACCGGGGTCACAGGGGTCGCGGCTGCAACCAGGCCCGGCCCACCAGGGGCCCTGCGACCCAGTATGTATGCCACTGTGGCCAGCCTCTTCTCCTGGGGGGCCCAGGAGCCGGCCACCGCAGGGCCCCCAGAGGCTGGCCCTGGTATCACCAGTCTGGTGCACTGCACTGATACCGGAGCCGGAAGATGATGTCATATTCCAGCTCCGGCATCAGTACGCGGCGCGCGAGGGAGCTGAAGAGGAAGCACTCAGCCAGGGAGAGAGTGCTACCCCGCGCGACCGCCAGCCAGCCCGCCGGGTGACACCACTGGACCCCAGGGAATCCCCTCAGTACTCCAACAGGTAAAGAGGCTGGGGGGATTAAATTTAAAAAAAAATGAGTGTGTGTGTGTTAGTGTATGTGTGATAGTGTTAGTGTGTGTGTGTGTTAGTGTTAGAGTGTGTGTGTGTGTGTTAGTGTGTGTGATAGTGTTAGAGTGTGTGTGTGTTAGTGTGTGTGTGATAGTGTTAGTGTGTGCGTGTGTGTTAGAGTGTATGTGTTAGTGTGTGTGTGATAGTGTTAGAGTGTGTGTGTGTGAGTGTGTGTGTTAGTGTGTGTGATAGTGTGAGTGTGTGTGTGTTAGTGTGTGTGTGATAGTGTTAGTGTATGTGTGTGTGTGTGTGTGTGTGTGTGTGTTAGTGTGTGTGATAGTGTTAGTGTGTGTGTGTTAGTGTTAGAGTGTGTGTGTGATAGTGTTAGAGTGTGTGTGTTAGTGTGTGTATGTTAGTGTTAGAGTGTGTGTGTGTTAGTGTTAGAGTTTGTGTGTTAGTGTGTGTGTGTTAGTGTTAGAGTGTGTGTGTTAGTGTTAGAGTGTTTGTGTTAGTGTTAGAGTGTGTGTTAGTGTTAGAGTGTGTGTGTTAGTGTTAGAGTGTGTGTGTGTGTTAGTGTTAGAGTGTGAGTGTGTGTGTTAGAATGTAGGTGTGTGTTAGTGTTAGAGTGTGTGTGTGTTTGTGTGTTAGAGTGTGTGTGTTAGAGTGTGTGTGTGTTAGTGTTAGAGTGTGTCAGTGAGTGTGTTACTGTGTGTGTCTGTTACTGAGTGTGTTAGTTTGTGTGCATCTGTTAGTGAGTGTGTGTTTTGTAAGTGAGTGTGTATGTGTCTGTCTGTCAGTGAGTGTGTATGTATGTCTGTCACTGAGTGTGTGTCTGTCAGTAAATGTGTGTGTCTGTTAGAGAGTGTGTGTGTCTGTTAGCTAGTGTGTATGCGTCTGTTCATGAGAGTGTGTGTCTTAAGCACTTACCTTTCTCCAGCGCCGGACTCCCATGGCGCTGGGGATCTCTCCGCCTCGATCCGCCTCTAAACTCCGAATGCACATGCGTGGCAAGAGCCACACGAGCATTCAAACCGCCCATAGGAAAGCATTACTCAATGCTTTCCTATGGACGTTCAGCGTCTTCTCACTGTGATTTTCACAGTGAGAATCACGGAAGCTCCTCTAGCGGCTGTCAATGAGACAGCCACTAGAGGCTGGATTAACCCTCAGTGAAACATAGCATGTTTTCAGTTGCAAGGTTAAAACTAGAGGGACCTGGCACCCTGACCACTTCATTGAGCTGATGTGATCTGGGTGTCTGTAGTGGTCCTTTAAGTGTATGTGTATCTGCATGCACTGGCGTACATACCGCTGTGACCCCTGCGACCAGGTGCCCGCCGCCATATGTTGTGGCCCCAGCCCGTGCAGAGTAAGCGCGTGGGGGGAGCCTGGATCAGTTTTCGCACCGGGGGCCCCATGGGTTGTGTGTACGCCACTGGGCAGACCCCCATACACAGTTCAAGCAGCTACCCCATACACATAGGGTCCCAGACAAAAATGCAAACATGCTCACAGAGACATACATTCACACACAAGGATACTCTCTGTCAGACACACTCTCAGGCCCATACACAGGTAAACTGTGCATCAATGTGTATATGTGACAGTGTGCATGTATTGAAACTCTATTTTTTTCACTTTTTTGTTAGTGGGGCCTCATGTTTGAGTTTCGCCTAAGGCTTCATAAAGTCTAGAGCCGCCTCTGCTGACATGACATTATATTTTTCCTTCTTCCTCCATTCAGGGGGGACAGTAAGATAAAAATGAGAAATTAATGAACACTTGGTAGAAGTTAGCACTTAGAAAGGAGCATGTTTTCTCTTGACGAAAACATAACCTAAAGTCACATTGCAGCAGTGAGATTCATTTGAAAATAGCTTTTAAAGGACAGCCAGAATTGCATTGGACTCTGTGGATGAGCGTGCGCCGCTGAGATGTTTATTAATTGACTTATAAAAGTGCCAATTTTTCATAAAGGCAGGCACTTCTATGATATGCGATTAAAATAGGATACTCCATACATATAAATAATTTTGGCAAGCTGAAGTGCTTTATGAGTGTGGAGTGGTCATTTTAAGAATGCACATACGTAATTCAACCTATACTGACATTTTGGGAATCAATACCTTGTTATAATTTTCATATCAAGCAAAGGACGGACCTTTGAAATACCAAATTCTTTATGAACAACGTAACAAGCATCTGTGTGAGTAATCTCTGCAGAATAAATCGGAACACTGTGAGACATTACTTTATTCCTGATAATTACTAAATTAATAATATGTGGCATTCCCAGTTAGTTATTTTCTTAATGAGTTAATATAGTTGAACTCTTGATTGAATACATGGACTAATGTTAAGAATAGGTGTTGAGTTTCCATGAGTTGTGTTATTAAAGTTACTTAAATGCCGATTGCTGCTAAAATTTTGCCAGCTTGATCAGAAAGTTTCCTAGTGTCTTGAAAATTTAAATTTGACAACTTACCTGAGTCCCGCCAGACTGCTACAGCCAAATAACGTACCCAGCCAGGATCTTGCTGCAGAAGAGTATCAAGAAATACCTACACTCATTGAGAGAGTCAGCCGAGCACTCTCAACCAACGAACACTGTCCAGGATTGGTCATGCTAAGCTTAATATACCCACCCAGGACTCTCCTGGCACCATAACAACTATACCGGGCTGTGTTGGTTATTGTACTTGAAGAGTTCCTCTAAAAGACCTGGCAATCAGTCTTTCAAGCACAAAAAAGAATGCATATTTTGCCTTCGGTTATGACATTTTTCAGGTTTGCGTGTGTTTACTTATGACCCGAAGGCCCATGTAGAGGCTGTTACAGATTGGTTTAGTTTTGTTGTCAAAGATGTGCAGCCACAGGGAAGGAATCCATATTAAATGCAGTGTGCTACGTGTTAGAGTTTGCCACTACATTATTAAGTACAAGAAATTCCACAGGTCACCAATGTAAGCGTGCTCGTTTCATGGTGGAACCAGACTTGACATGTGAAAATCTCTCTAATAGTAGCCCGAAGGTTTTCATGAAAATACAGTTTTCTGAAAATACATGTAAGAATAGTTTCAAATAACATGTCTTATTGTGCAAAATACTTTATAAAAAAGAAGATTTATATAACGTCCCATAAATTTATATATAAAATATATACAGGGTGGGGAAAACAGCATTAAATCACATTGGAACTTCCCATTGAATATCGCCGTACAAACAAAACAAAATAGAAAGATAAATGGTGTACGAATTCTTGAAGTCATAAACTCTGTGAGATAAAATGAACATATTCACTTGTGAGGTTGCGTGTTATTGAACGATGTTTCTAATTTGCATTCGAAATATAAAAGAAAAAGAAAATATAAAAGACAGACAATATAATAGTGGCCTGTCCACTAAAGTTAGACTGGGACAGATTAGATACAGACTTGCCGAAAAGGACATTATAGGCACTATAACCAACACCATATCATTTCATTAAATTGTTTATAGTGCATGAGGTCCCTTGGCATTGTCCTTCCATTAAATGTTAAACCATTTATGAGCAGTGTAACTCTGAAAGAGGGTCCTTGGTAGTCCACTGTCCGACCACCACTGGAGGTGTGGCTAAAGCTAAGACTGCACAGTTGCTTAACAGTCATACCAATTTATACCAGCAATGGACGCTGTGACTGGTTGAAAGTGGTCATCTGATACTCACAACCAATCACAGCCATTTATTGTGGATCAGGCTAATGCTTCCTTATTAGCAATAGCAGCACAGATGCGATGGGCTGCTGAGGATTCTCGTTAAGTGTTAAACCGTTAAATATGGAATGAAAGGACCATGCATGAGGATGCCAGACTCTATAACCACTTTAATGAGATGATTCAATTACAGCTCATTGGCCTTCATCTTACTTTACAGGGGCTAAACTGTTTTGCAATGGCTTAATCATGAAGTTGACAGTGTTCATTTCTTCTAACCCCAATAACACTGATTGGATGAGTGTACTGGGCTAACCCGCTTTCTCAGATAATAAATGCTATCAAGCTTGTCTGCAATTGGCATTGATCAGTGGAGGTGTTGATTCCACATCATGAATGCAGCTGACATGGGGGTGGCTGATATGGGGAGGTTTTCAGTCACTTGCAGGGGCACCGGCTTATATAAAATCATTTATAAATGAATCATTTGTATAACTTTAATTTTCAAAACTCCTTGTTTGAGATAATATGGTGCCTGGAGTGTTCCTTAAAGCAGTTCTGTCATCCTATACTGACCTTGCTTCAGTCGTATCCTCTTCTATTGCTTGCATTCTGTTTTTCAATTCTTTTTCTCCTAAAATACAAAAGGCAAAATAGGGACTATGTTGCCTTATGTTTTTTTTTTTGTCCCACTTGAGAAAACTAGGCAAAAGAGCTTCCTTTCTCAAGTTGTGTCACTTCCCCCAGCCGTCTCTAGCAACGACTGGGCGAATAAGGCATTGTCTTGCATATTTTGAGACAATATCAATGGAGGCACCCGCGTTCTCAATCCATAGACCTCAGTGTTGTTTTCTTGCACAAGCATAAGAGTACAGCACTGATGTGGGCTCCTGGCAGTTCAAGCACCATGAAGAGGGTAGATGGAATGCAGATAACAATTGCAGTGTGGGCTAGTTCAGCTAAGTAAATCTTACCTTCCCTTGCACCAAACCAGCCAAGCAGCAAAATCACCATCAGATGTCCTTCAAAATCAAATGAAGACCCCAGAAGGTGACATAGCTGATTGAAATGATTTACAAATTTTCTACTTCGTATTGAAATCTCTTCTTCACTTTAACTCTTTACATATATAATATATCCGGCCATCTAGCAACATTACAATGCATGTGTGTTTCATCTCATTTAATATTTAACCTTAAAGGACCACTATAGTGCCAGGAAAACATACTCGTTTTCCTGGCACTATAGTGCCCTGAGGGTGCCCCCACCCTCAGGGACCCCCTCCCGCCCGGCTCTGGAAAGGGGAAAGGGGTTTAAACTTACCTTTTTCCAGCGCTGGGCGGAGAGCTCTCCCCCTTCTCTCCTCATCCGTTCCACCCCGTCGGCTGAATGCACACGCGCGGCAAGAGCTGCGCGCGCATTCAGCCGGTCGCATAGGAAAGCATTTACAATGCTTTCCTATGGACGCTGGCGTGCTCTCACTGTGATTTTCACAAATGTCACAATGTCAATGAGACAGCCACTAGAGGCTTTGGGGGAAGGCTTAACCCATTAATAAACATAGCAGTTTCTCTGAAACTGCTATGTTTATTAAAAAATGGGTTAACCCTAGCTGGACCTGGCACCCAGACCATTTCATTAAGCTGAAGTGGTCTGGGTGCCTAGAGTGGTCCTTTAAGTCCAAAAGTGCCATTGCACCACTGGGCATATCTATTTGAAACAACACTACACTGATCCCTTTATTAGTTTATGCCCATAGGAGAAAATACAATTTCAACATTTTTCCCACTTCAGTGCAAGAGTCAGGTAATAAAGGTTCAAATGTGTTATTACTAAAATCATAGAATGGGAAGACTACAATATAGTAACTTTTAGCACCAATGATTATTGTAAAAAAAAATAGACACGATTGATTTTGCTAAAAATCTGATGCACTTAAAAACACATAACTTTTGCTCTTGGATTATTCGATGCCTTTGATCAGTCATCAATGCCTTTCATTGGTTGGTTTCTTAGATAACCCCATTTGAAAATAAGTGTGTAGGTAATCCCTATATTTCATACCAAGGTTAATCATTTATGTTTGGTCTAAAAGACACAGCAATGTACTGAATGTGCTAGACAGTTTATTGCAATTATCACATAGAAATTGTGAATTTGGGCCAAGCACATTCCTGGTTCCAAGGCTCCTATTTTAGCACTGAGCCCTAGGTGGCTGCCTATGGCCACCTTATAGTTAAACCTGCTATGGTATGCAATAAGGAAATACTACTAATTTAGGTATTGTGACCTTCATGAAGGCAACTGCATTTCTAAAAAGTGAAAACTATAGGGAAGAATTATAAAGGCAAAACAGTTGATTTTCTGGGTGCAAAGTGATAAATGGTCAATAGTGATGTCCCAAACTGTTCGCGAACGGTTCGCCGTGGACTCATCATTGAGTAAACTTTGACCCTGTACCTCACAGTCAGCAGACACATTCCAGTCAATCAGCAGCAGACCCTCCTTCCCAGACCCTACCACCTCCTGGACAGCATCCATTGTGAAGCTGCATTCAGTGAGCTGTCCAGGAGGTGGGAGGGTCTGGGAGGGAGGGTCTGCTGCTGATTGGCTGGACTGTGTCTGCTGACTATGAGGTACAGGGTCAAAGTTTACTCAATGATGAGTACGCGGTGAACCGTTCGTGGCAAACCATTCGCGAACCGTTCGCGAACCGTTCGGCGAACAGTTCGGGACATCACTAATGGTCAAGGATATTCTACTGGTTTCCATTGGTCCCTATTTAGCACTGTGCCCCAGAACACATTTTTTTTGCCTTGAGCATTTTAATAAAATGTCTTGTTCCAATAATCAGAATTCAAAACTTTGGTTGCTGTGTATCATTTATTAATGTACTGCTGGTTCCTGCGTGGAGAACATTTATACAGATATCTCAATGGCAGCAAAAATTGTATTGGAAACTCTTCTTGTTTGTTTGTAGAACATGGCATAAGACAAGCACAAAATTTGAAATCACAGTGATACGAAGGGGTAGCTAGAAGTGTTTATATTTGAAAAATGTATTTTTCATAACAGCTGAAATTTCTTGTTGGGTCACAGCTTTGCAAAGAGCAGAGGTTTAAATATCTAAAATTTTGGATTGTATCCATTAAATATTTTTCTAAAACGAACTTGTTTTTCTTTACATCCAGGTTTTTACTTGGGAAGCTGCAAACATTTTATGATGCAGAGCATTCATGATGTCCGTTCTGAACTAGTTAATACACGAATATTCCCTGACTTTTAATACATCAAGTGCACACATCTATGATATTTAGATAGAACAATGATTCTGTGTTGTCATTGAAAGATCCCTTATTTCCTCAAATATTTTTGGTTTCCGTTGACTGTAGAGATGTGTGTGTTGAATACAGAATCCATAATTGTAGCAGATAAAGCATTAACAAAACAATATAAATGGCTATCATGGTCTAATTGACTGGTTACACTCCTAGTTAATGGGGTTTGTTGGATTTTCGTTTCGATGCAAATGTTAAGTCACTTCTTTTCAACAGCAGACGACTCTTCTTTCGAAGCAACTTGGACTTTCGTAGTGGTTGTCGTGGTGGTCTCTTTAGAACCTGAAACTATGAAGAGATAACACAACATCTTAAGTAAGTACTCATTTTGTGTAGAAATAGTAAATTAACTTTAGGAGTAAAATCAACAATCACACATTATCTGTTCCCCCTTAAGTTAAAGGGACACTATAGTCACCAAAACAACTTTAGCTTAATGAAATAGTTTTGATGTATAGATCATGCCCTTGAAGTCTCAGTGCTCAATTATCTGCCACTTAGGAGTTAAATCAGTTTGTTTATGAACCCTTGCCACACCTCCCTGTATGTGACTTGCACAGCCTCCATAAACACTTCCTGTAAAGAGCTATCTAATTTTTATCCTTCCTTTATTGCAAGTTCTGTTTAATTTAGATTTTATTATCCCCTGCTATGTTAATAGCTTGCTAGACCCTGCCGGAGCATCATGTATGTGATTAAAGTTCAATTTACAGAGCAAGAGATAAAATTGTTTAAGGTAAATTACATTGAAAGTGAAACCAGTTTTTTTTTTTCATGCAGGCTCTGTCAATCATAGCCAGGGAAGGTGTGGCAAGCGCTTTATAAACAGAAACAAAGTGATTTAACTCCTAAATGGCAGTGAATTGAGCAGTGAAACCTGAGATGCATGACCTACACACCAAAACTGCTTCATTAAGTTAAAATTGATTAGGTGACTATAGTGTTCCTTTAGTGTGATTTAATTCCCCTTATAGAGCAAGGCTTACAAGAACTGTGAAATTGTGTAAAAAGTAGTTAGAATTCCATGAAAAAATCAAAATGTCAGTATGAAAAAGGAGGCAAATTTTCATGTTGAATTAGGTCAGAAGGTAGATGCCCAGAGTTGTAGAACTACAACTCCCATGATGCTTTGCATTCCTTTAGAATGACAAAGCATCATGGAAGCTGTAGTTTTAAAACACCTTTTGGGCACCCATGAATTAGGTGATATGTATGTTAAAGGAGCGTGTTGTATAATGAATCTGAACTTTTAATCAGCCTAAGCAGATTTTCAGGATACGAGAGGGATTGTTAAATATTTTGAGGTGAAGGGGCGTGTTTTTAAATTTTTTTCCCCTATTTTATTTTTCAGTTGGTTTATGTTTGAATTTCATATATACAATCAGCCTTGAACTGTGCTTGTCTGATAAGTAAGGCAGGATATGTCTAACACTACATTCCAGGTCTATTTTGAGGGTCAGAAACTACTGGAGTGTCCTCCTTTGCCACCTTTAAAAAGATAGAAACGTGTAAATCAGATTTAAGGGTTTAAACTACCTTTATTTTTTTAAACCAGATTCATTGTAAATGCAGTTTTACTGGGTTATTCACTGAAGTTAGAATTCAAAGTGGATAGATATCAAATTTAAGGTCAACGTAGTCCAAATAGAAGCATAGCTGAATTTTTCCAGTCTGACTATTTTGTCCTTAAATTTGAAATTCACTTTGAATCTCAGTTCATTGAATAGCCATTGGATGATATGTTTTATATATATATATATATATATATATATATATATATATATATATTTAATATAGTTTGCCAATAAATGACTCTCAAAGGCTGTAGCTATCACAGCAGTCAGTTTTTTAAGATTCAATGAAAATTGGAGACTTGAGAAGGGAATTGTAAACCGAGATGAGAAATTAAGTTCTCAGCATTCTAAGCGATTCCTGGCTTAGTGCATCAATCTCATCAGAGAATAAATCTCATTAGTGTTACGTTGTTATAAAGGTTACGGGTGCATATTTGAACACTTTACGTATTAACTAATATTAGCTAATAATATTTTTACCTGAGGTCTCTTTGCCAGATCTTTCAGTGCTGCAATAAACAAACACATAATTAAATTACAGGGGGAAAAAAAACACAAATTATATTTCACTTCATGTAAACCAGATAAAAGCTGGCATTACAATCTCTAAACCCTATTAAAGGACAATAAGAATATTTAAACACTGTTTCACCTCATTATGTAAGGCATCATTGTAGGCATCCCGTAAATCGGGGAAGTGGGGAAAGGGGAGAAGGGGTGGGCCAGTGACACCTGTCATGTCACAGGCACCTCCCACAGGGGTAGACCCAGCCAGAATGAAGGAGGGTCTACCTGAATTACTGGTAAATCAGCATGCACACCAGGCTACCGGCCAATTAATCAGTCCAGCCCACTGAGGGGGGCACTGTTTCTCCATTAGATAAATGAAAAATAAAACAATGTATATAATTGTAAATTGTAAGATTATATTTCACATATGTGTGTAATATGTTGCCTTTTACTAGGCTATATGATATCTCATATTGCTTTTAAATTATTTGTTTTTAAAAGCCATATTTTATTTGAATGGACGTTTCTCTGTAAACATTTTTCGATTTTTAACCCCGTAAGGACGAAACTTCTGGAATAAAAGGGAATCATGACACGTGTTTAGAAAAATGTTCCTTTCTTTTTACCTGTAGCTTAAACTCACGTTCTGCTTAGCCCCATGAGAGACATGCTCTAACAAGTTACAACCGAAATGATAAAAATGCATATAATTTGCATTCTCGTAAAAAAAATAGTAAATAAATGTTCTCTCATTGAAAAGCATGCTTCCAGAGTGCAGTGTTTGATTATTGTTTTAGTGTGAGTTCATGCAACATGCTGAAACAGGTCTCACTTTTTTTTAGTTGTTTAACCAATTGCTACTAGTCCTAGATGCAAAATATTACTAATTATTATTATTTAAGGCCTACATTATTTCTTTATTACTAAATATTTTTTGTGTTATGACAAAATCACAAAGATTTCAAGGATTTTCAGACTGAAATAAGTTAAAACCAATAAAGATTTTTAACTTTGAAGTTCCTATGATTGTAGCATATTCCCATCATTTGCAGCTTTGTGCTGTGAGAACTGCAGACACTAGATGGTAACTAACACTAAATATCCAGTCATGTTTTTGGAAGTATTTTCGGTGGGTGTGCTATCGATATACTATAAACCCCTGCTCAGCTGAGTTTCATAGGATACGTACAGTTCATCAGCACTTAAAAGCAGTTCCATTCAAACTATCTGAACTCATATAAAATGCACTGTGGCTGATATTGGCTTACTAATAGTTCCATTTATGGTTTGTGAAAGGAAACTATAGATGTGACTACTTGCCAACACATACATGTGTTTATAAGCAGATAGACAGCTATTGAGGCTCTCGTTGCATCATAACATTATGTTAGTGGAAATTTGTACAAGAACAAGGGGATTCAAATACATGTACTTTGTACAATTGCATTGTTATCTAAATACCTAATTTCTTCTAACTTCAAGACGTTACCTGCCACTATGCTCATCCATCAGCTTGCGGTATGTTGCAATCTCCGCTTCAAGGTGGGCCTTGATATCTAAGAGATTCTTGTACTCCAGATTGGAGCGTTCCATTTCTGACCGAAGATCTCCCAGCTGATGCTCGATGCCACCAATGACAGACTGAATGTGACCAAGCTGGGCAGAGTAACGGGACTCTGTTTCTGCGAGACTGGCTTCAAAACCTGATTTCTGATGCAATAAAAAACACAAGATAAAATTTGTTTTTTTTAAAATTTATTTGTTGATTAAAATATTCAAATTACCCTTTCATGTTGCTTGCCCTGTTCTTGTTCATGATTCACACAACCTTTGTCTACGTTTTTATAGCACATTGTTGAGGATATATACTTCTAGTTGTACCATAACTACGAGAACTTTTGCAAACGTGGCTAAACCACATTTGCTTGTCAGTCAGCTAAGCTATTGTATAGGCTTTACTTAAGGTAACACTATAGGGTCAGGAAAACAAACATGTATTCCTGACCCTCTAGTGTTAAAATCACCATCAAACCCCCCTAATTTCCCCAAAATATAGTAAAATCTTACCTTTATTCCAGTCTGCTACAATAGGCTCTACCCTGATCTGCCTGCTTGGCTGACATCATCAGAAGTGGTGTTCTCAGCCAATCCAATGCTTTCTCCTAGGAAAGCATTGCATTGGCTGAGAGTGTCAAGGAGGCAGATCAGGGGCAGAGCCAGCACAAGCCAAACACAGACCTGACCAATCAGCATCTCCTCATAGAAATGCATTAAATCAATGCATCTCTATGAGAAAAGTTCACTGTCTCCATCTAGTAGACATACATTATAGCCAGTGAAGGTATCCCTAGGCTATAACGTAAATACTGCTTTTTCTCTGAAAAGACAGTGTTTACTGTAAAAAGCCTGAAGGGGATAATTATACTCACCAGGACAAATACAATAAGCTGTAGTTATTCTGGTGACCCTTTAACATCCTTATAGGGACACTATAGTCACATGAACAACTTTAGCTTAATGAAGCAGTTTTGGTGTATAGAACATGCCCCTGCAGCCTCACTGCTCAATCCTCTGCCATTTAGGAGTTAAATCCCTTTGTTTATGAACCCTAGTCACACCTCCCTGCATGTGACTTGCACAGCCTTCCATAAACACTTCCTGTAAAGAGAGCCCTATTTAGGCTTTCTTTATTGCAAGTTCTGTTTAATTAAGATTTTCTTATCCCCTGCTATGTTAATAGCTTGCTAGACCCTGCAAGAGCCTCCTGTATGTGATTAAAGTTCAATTTAGAGAATGAGATACAATTATTTAAGGTAAATTACATCTGTTTGAAAGTGAAACCAGTTTATTTTGCATGTGTGGATAAGGCTGCATAAACAGAAACAAAGTGATTTAACTCCTAAATGACAGTGAATTGAGCAGTGAAATTGCAGGGGAATGATCCATACACTAAAACTGCTTTATTTAGCTAAAGTAATTTAGGGGACAATAGTGTTCCTTTAAACATTAAGTTCACTACAGTGTCTATAAGAAGGAGAAGGTGGTAGATTTACGGTTAGCTTATAGACAGAAATATGGATGTAGAAGTGGAGCAATGGGAGGGACAACTGAAGTTGTAAGGGGAAAAATTCCACCAGTCATGATGGAGTACCTTTTTGATTCTATGGATTATTGTTTAAAAGAGATGAGAAAAACAAAGCATATTTTACAAGCGTTGGATATCTTCTCCATATACATTTAAAACAATTACATTTTACCGGGTAGATGCAAAAATGTTAGTGTAAAGACCTTTATTGAATAACTGACTATGTTATGTAAGAAATATTAAAATATTAAAGGACCACTATAGTGACAGGAAAACAAACTCGTTTTCCTGGCACTATAGTATTAATAGGTCCCCCCCACCCTCATGGCCCCCCTCCCACTGGATTGAAGGGGGAGGAAGGTGTTAATATCTTGCCTTTCTCCAGCGCCGGACTCCCTTGGCGCTAGGGACTCTCCTACCTCTTCCGCGAATGCGCACGCGCGGGAAGAGCCGTGCGCGTATTCAGTCAGTCCATAGGAAAGCATTCTCAATGCTTTCCTATGGACGCTAGTGTCTTCTCACTGTGAAAATCACAGTGAGAAGCGCGGAAGCGCCACTAACGGCCTTCAATGAGACAGACACTAGAGGCTGGATTAACCCATATGTAAACAGAGCAATTTCTCTGAAACTGCTATGTTTACAGCTGCAGGGTTAACCCTTGATGGACCTGGCTATAGTGGTCCTTTAACTCAGCTGACATAGTTTAAATAAGTTTATAGCCAATTCTAATTAGAGCCTGTCCAGTCAAACCTTTCTTCGGTTCCTACACGGATACACAGATGAACAGACATTCAGTTGTGAAACTTTTGTAGCCTGTAATAAGTGTTGAGGAACATATTGTAAAAGGCCATGTGGGGCTGTCACAACTGTAGGCTCACCGTGCTGTATTGGGATTGCAATTCAATCTCGAGTCCCTGCAAGGTACGTCTTAGCTCAGTTATCTCGGTCTTAGTGGTGTGAACTTGCTCAACGTGGGTAACAACTTCTTTCTGCAATGATTCACTCTGGAAAATAGAAATAAAATGTAGTTTTCATTGATAAGACCAGCATGAACCAGTTAACACACCTAACGTACCAGATGAACAGACGGTTATACGATACCATACCTGAGCAATATACCAAGCTTCCGCGTCCCGCCTATTCTTTTCCGCAATGTGTTCATACTGATCTCTCATTTCAGACAATATCTTGGTCAAATCTGTTCCAGGAGCTGCATCCATTTCAACGTTTACTGTACCACTCATCATCTGGCCTTTTTCACTCATTTCCTGTGGAATTGGATAAATTGGAAAAATATATATGTAATAAAAAAACTGAAAGGTTGAATGCAATGGTAACAAATCTTCTCCTGTCTCAATTTTTTTATTTTAAAATCTTTCAACCCCTCATTTCTTCACAGTCTTCCCTATATTATTGTGTTGTAGTCCTTTAACATCTTTGATTTATATATTTTAACCATTATTTGACTATTACTAAAATATTTTGGAATACTGTACTGTTTTAGATAAAATAAAGGGATGGTACAGGCAATAGTGAACCCACATTTTAAAATGCATTACATATATAATGCATTGAAGGGACAATATCGGTACTCAGACCACTTAATCCCATTGAAGTGATCTGGGTGCAGTGCTACTGTACCCCTTAGCTCTGCAATGTAAAGCATGTTTAAGAGAAACTGCAATGTTTATATTGCAGGGTCTAGACTACCTCTGGTGGCTGTCTACCATATAGTTCTTAGTATCTCCTTACAGTTCTCAGCTCTATGTTATATCTCTTTATTTTATTTGACTCTACCTGTTGTATGGGTATCTCTGTAGTACCCAGTTCTGTGTATTTATTGGGCATCATTGTATTGTGGCAAGTTCTGTGTATTGTATGGGTATCTCTGTATTGTACATGGCTCTGTGCATTATATCTCTATTTTTTTCTCAGCTCTGTTTGTGGTATGTTTATCTCTGTATTGTACCCACCTCTATGTGTTTTATTGATATATTTATGTTGTGCCCAACTTGTTTTGTTGTATGAGCATTGTATGGATGGATTATGCTCAGCTATCTGTATCTCTTTCCTATAGGAAGAAGTAATATTCTGGGAGAGGAGTCTGGTGCCCCATCACCATAATCTTCACCAGAACTGCTTTGCTCTGGCTCTCAATAATGGTGAGGACCTATGAATCTGATATGTGTTTAATTTTTATTTATTTTGGGGGTTTTTAGGGTTGAGAAAATCTATAGCATGAAATCGCTGACAGCTGTCCTCAAAGGAACCTCTGATAAATGTGTACTTACCTGGATGCTCTGGTTGGACTGTATGTCGTGCTTGGCTGCAGAGACCTAGAGGACAGGGGAACTGGGAACCCGAGACGTACTTGCCAAGCCTCTGACGATGACCGATCCTATCGACACCACCCAATTTATTTATTTTTCTTTCTGCTCTGTCTATTATACCTCTGGATTTTATTTTATTTCTGCTGATAGATTTTTGCACCTTGGGTGTAACCTGTACATTGTAGCTGCAAACTTAATTATTTTCCCTAAATGTGATGTAATACCATCAATGGCCACCAGGGGCATGCACAATGTATAATATCCATTATAGTGCAGTTCTAGATGTTTTCTTAATTCTTGTATCACACTTGCCACCCTATCCTTGTTCACTTTGTTGCAATATATTTCTATATATGATAACGCAAATGCATAATTTAGATACAAATTCATTCTTTAAAACTATGTTGATGCATTCCGTCAGCTATTTCATCTCAATAGATGTTTAATTATGGTAAATTGACAAATATCTATATATGAAGGTATTGTATTTACACATATACTACAGTAACCCTGGCCCTAGAGCTGCGTTTAAACTACAATTCCCATAACTCTCGGCCAGCCTGTTTCAACCCAAATCTAGAACAACAAACCTCTGCATGATTCTTCTTCAGGTATGCAAGTTCCTCCTTGAGGTTCTCAATTTGCATTTCCAAGTCTGCTCTGGAGAGGGTTAATTCATCCAAGACTTTGCGCAAGCCATTGATGTCCCCTTCAACACTCATACGCAGAGAGAGCTCATTTTCATACCTGTATAATAAATGTTTGTGTTTTGTTGGAGTATATTATTTGGATAAAAGCTTAGAACAGACATGATGGCCTCACGGTGGTTTCTGAGAATACAAACATTCTTGCCTATAATTATTCTAAACTCTGAAACTGAGCCAGACTTGACGACTTCTTGGGAGGTGGGGTAGTAAAGATGTTTTGAAAACCACAATGATAGAAGAGTAATTTGTGCAAACACAGATTACAAAGCAACACAGAGACGATTGAGATAAATCACTTAACAAACACACTTGTTATGTACAGAAACCTACTTGTTTTTCACTAAAGTGAGTAATGTTATAAATTCAAAGTGAATTTAAAATTTAAGGTCAAACTAGCCAGACCTGGAAAATTCTCCAAGTCAGCGATGCTTCCAATTCAGCTACCTTGGCCTTTAAAATACACTTTGAATTCCTGACAATTCTCACGTTAGTAAATAACCATGATTGTTGCATTACCTATCCATTAATCTAAATAACATAGTAGAAAGTAACATAGAAAATTTACATTGTAGGATAGGGGTCAGTAACCTACATCCCAAAGGACTTATAAGTAGGGTTACCATATCCACATATAATTTGCAGGATTGCCTAATTACTATTTGGTCAGGACTACAAACGTGTATTCCTGACCCTAAAGTGTTAAAAACACTATTTAGAACCCCAGCAACTCTTTCCCAGCCTTAAATAAGTAGTTCACTCAATTTTACTCCAACGTTGCACGTGTCCGTAGGAAAGCATTGGATTGGCTGAGATCGTCAACTCTGATGATCTCAGCCAAGGAGGAGGGGCAGGTGGCGGAGCCAAACACCGCCCTTGCCAATCAGCATCTCCCTTTTTTTTAATCAGTGCATCTTTATGAGGAAAGTTCAGCTTCTCCATGCAGAACGTGGAAACGCTGAAAAGTCCCTCTAGTAACTATCTGAGTAACTGCCACTGGGGGTGCCCCTAGGCAGCAGTGTAAACACTGCCTTGTGTCTTCTTTTTTACTACAGGGCAACCCTTTTCATATGCTGCTCATCAATACCTATATGTGATATTTGTCCATGAAAATACAGGATTTGGTAACCCTACTGGTAAGGCCCATCCCAGCAAATGTCCATGTAGGTCTGGCATAAGCCTAATGGGGGCTTAAGAACTATGGCAGAATACATAGCTGCAGCCTGCTCCAATGTACCGTCTGTTGTAGGACATGAGACAGAGAGGGAGCTGTGATCACTATGATCGCTGTTCTTTTCCTGCACAGCTCCCTCACATGTCCTGCAGTGGTGCCAGTAGCCGAGCTATGACATCACCCCTTATTATGGTATGCTCATTCATGATATTACCAGGTAAGGATACCAGATTAAGGAGCTATCTACTAAATTTCTGAAAGATCAAAATTAAGAAAAGAGCTTTTTAAATTTTGTTCTTTCAGCTATTTATTAGATAATTGCCTAATCTGATATCCTTACATATGGCAATGCCATACAAGGATACCACATTAGGCAGTCATCTACTTTTAACAATTAAATTTTTTGGCTATACAGATGAAAGTGCCGCCCTCCATCCATTGATATACGTGGCGTTTGGCCTTCGTGATGACCCCTGCCGTAGGGCTTGTGTAAAAATTTTACAGCAATGATTAGCTGCAAAATTAAAATTCCACTAACAGAAGACAAATTATTGATATATTAACCAAGCTGTTAATTGGTGTATCTTTGTTAAATATTGAATGTCAATAAAACATGATCTTTTTTGAAGAATAAAATAAGGGATTTTTTTGGACTAAATAATAATTATTATTTGGCTTTTATATAGCGTCAACATATTCTGCAGTGCATGGAAAACTAAATTGCAACATTTAGGCAAAAAAATGACTCATGATTTGATATTTATATACACACACATTTAAATAACTGGAGGTTTTTAGTTATCACTGCAATAGCCATTAAAGTGTAAGCTCACCTGCCAAGTCATGGCAAACCTCTTAGATCTAAGGCTTACACTTTAACGGCCATTGGAGTTATACTAAAAAAAATCTCCAGTTATTTAACCCCTTAAGAACACATGACATGTCTGACATGTCATGATTCCCTTTTATTCCAGAAGTTTGGTCCTTAAGGGGTTAAATATGGATAAGTATTTAGGATAGTGCACGGATAACTTTGTTTGTGTTTTATTCTTCGTATTTCGGCTGATAAGTACTATAGTTTGTAGCTGTCGACCCAGGATTAGTGGGAATTTGAGCACGGTGTTTAATTGTATTTGTTTATTTAACAATATAAGTTAATACACTAGCTGTGCATGAATGGGCACTTACTTGAGTTTAAAATCATCAGCGGCCAACCGCGAATTATCGATTTGTAAGAGAATTTGATTGTTGTCAATGGTAGCGTTCAAGATCTGTAAAACAAAAAAATATTAATAGTCAATCTGATACCGTTAAATTTTAAATGGAAAAGATAACAACTGAATCAACCAAGAAACATGACTTAAAGTTACTGAGTTATAAAACAAAATTGTTTATTTATTCACTAAACCTCAAACTGTAGTTAATTGAAATCTGAATTGCTAAATCTTGACTAACATAGCCGAGTTGTGACTATAGTCTAGTTTTTGCCTTAATTTTGCAATTTGAATTTAAATTTGGTACAATTCAAAGTTTAGTGAACAAGCCCCAAATAGTCTTTGGCACCTGGCCCGAAATTTTATATCAAACCACCTCCCGGGATTTAAAGCCCAGAAACTGCCGAACAAATATTGTAGAAGTGACCTATGGCATAGGCTGACAAAGATGGAATGAGAGCACTGGGCTATTAAAATGTAATTCACCATAAATGGAATACAGTAAAAAAATGAATAGAGTCTTTACAACAGAAAAGGAAGGAGGGCGAAGTAATGAAAGGCTGAGCGAGTATTGGACTTTATCAACAGCTACGAGAATCTCATCCCTATACTCTGAGATAATATATATTATTTATTTATTCAATTATTTATTTATAAAATATTTTTCCAGGACGGATACATTGAGATTTCGCTGATTTTCAAATATGTCCTTAAATATATATATATATATATATATATATACACACACACTTGGGATAGCACTAATAGTAAATTTGCAATAGACAAATTTACAGATGAATGAGTTTATAGCTACATCACTCGAACACTGTGTTCGACCAATGGCAAACAAGAATTTTAGAAAGTCCATTTTTGATTGGCTATACAGCATTTTGACATTGTGTCTAACAGTTTTGTAACCCAATTTCCAACACATCATGCAAATAAAGACCAGCAAGCTAATGTCTTCTCAGACACAACATTTTCTAGTGTCCAACATACAAAATTACAATGATATCACCCATTAATGGAAGTAAGACATAGTGTTAAGGTTATTTGTGCATATATCGTTTCATATGCATGAGCAATGTATGCTTAATAAATTGTTGCACTATATGCTAGAAGCTCTGTATTTAATGTGTGGCATACCTTCTCACGCAGCTCATCAATTGTGGTGTAATAATGTGCGTAGTCCTGCTCACGTACGGTGACTGACCCTTGCTTCTCATACCACTCATGGATCTTTTTCTCAAGGTCAGTGTTGGCTTCTTCCAGTGAGCGCACCTTGTCCAAGTAATTAGACAGACGTCCGTTGAGGTTCTGCATGGCAAACTTCTCGTTTCCAGAGAGCAAGCCATCTCCACCGCCGACACTAAAACCAGAACCTCCAGCGCCACCAAAAGATGAACCACCAAAGTTGGAGGAAAAATGACCACCCATGCCAGAAGATACTAATCTTGCACTGCTTTGAGAAATCCCCGATCCCCCAAAACCTCCATGGGTACTCGATGAACCAAAAACTCCACCAGAAAGGCGAGCAGAGAGCCCACTTCCACTTCTGGAAGAACTGCTCTGAACATAGTTGTAGCTCATGGCTGGAGAGAGACAGGAGAGCACAAAATTGCTTCTTGGGGTTGGTACAGAGAATGTCAGTATCCTAAGATCACCCATGTTCCATTTATGCTGTCCTCAGCTGCTGTTGCCATGGTAAAGATGTGTAGTTGTTTAATATCTCCTCCTACCTGGACAAGTGCCATTGTCATACCTTTCCAAATCTCAAATTTTGACAGATTCCTCAGTGGCAGATGCGTATCAGTTTCTTTCTCTCATTTTCTCTCTTCACAAAGGGAGTCACTCAGAACGAGCAGTTCTTTGCTTCAGGCTATAGTGGTAACCCGAGAGCTACCTTTCTGGTTTAGAAAAATAAATAGAAAGTTTCCACAGCCTTGTGTACATAAAAATATACTGTACGAAAGGGGTCATACATAAAGACGATTTTAAGATTGGAATGATTAATGACCTTTTGCAATTTCTGTGTTAGTTTCCTGGCACAAGAGCACAATGTAAGCAAAAAGTCTTTTTGTACAAATGCAGTTCTTTATAAATTAGACACAAGCATAAAAAAGACTGATCTGTCTTTATTGCTTGTTGCCCAAAATGGCAAATTCTAAGTAGGGTAAGTTATAGTTTACTACCTGATTCTAACATTTTTATTAAAAGAACACTCTAAAAACCATAACCACTGGTGACGTGACGATTAAAGGGCCAGGAATGCCCTGGCAGCTCCCCAATTTTAGTACTCATTTACTAATGGTTTGACAATTTACCAGTGGTCCACTAGTTACCCTTCTATTATACAGGGTGCTTGGAGTGTTGTTGTTTTTTTAAGATTACTATATTTTGTTTTATAATCTTTCAATGTTTATATTATATCAATGATTGCATTACCATTCTTCTCTAAACTATTAGTATTAATGTATGTATAACCCCCCTCAACAAAGTCACAATGAAAAATGTTAAAGGACAGTCTGTGCACCATAACCACTGAATGAACATCCCGAAAACCTTGCATCCAGGTCCCTCTGTGCTACTCAGGTTACTTTTTCCTCATTAGCCAAACAACTGATGGGGCGGTAATGGGCTGAGAGTGTCTGCTGTGTCCAATCGGCCTATCACTGCTGCCTACCGCCGGTAACAATTGGCATGGCTAATGAGAAAGAATCTCTGCATTGGTGAGGCGTGGAGCTCCTCGGATAGCTGGGTTCACAGTTAGTGGCCCCAGACTGATAGATGAGCTATTCGCTCATTAATTAATTTAAATACTAATCACGCTCAACCACAGTAATGCTAAATTTGTCTTTGTCTGAAAATATCTTGGTGAGGTCTCCCTGCTTACCCCCTGCTCTTGGATCATTGCTAGGCTTTTCTAGCTTCCATCGGCACTGGGATACGGGGACACACTGTGCAACACTGACCCAGGAAGCACCTCTAGTGGCCATCTGAGTCACTGTCTCTGGAGGTTTCCCTAAAGAGCAATATAAACACTGCCTTTTCTCTGAAAAGACAGTGTTTACATTAAAATGCCTGCAGTGACTGACTATACGTATCAGAACAACTACATTAAGCTGTAGTTCTTCTGATGACTATAGTGTCCCTTTAAGGGCAAAAGAGCCATATTGCAAAATATATCTTATTCAGCAATGCTTCCAGATCAGCTACTTTGTCCTAAAATGTGAAATTCACTTTGAATTCTCACTTTAGTGCATAACACAGTTAGGCTTGCAAATAGCATTGCACCTAAATTATCAACAATGAGGTACTGTGAATGGTATTTACTTAGGAAGGTGCCTGACATATGTGCTCTAAGGACCACTCCAGATGCATAAAGCACTTGCACAATGCAGCTTGCTGAAATACTTAATGTGTCAGGAGGCTGTGTTTTTTTTTTTTTGACAGTTTAGAAAAGTGTTGATTTCAATAGAAATTCACACTTTTTTTTAATTGTGAGGAGAGACAACAACCAGCTCATTGAGAAACATTGGAAAGCCATGAGCATGTGTGCGGTCACAGTTCCAGCATTGAGGCTCCTCAAAAAGACTCTTCCAAAAGTTTGTGCGAGGGAAAACCAAGATGGTTTACAAAGTCTAAGGACAGCAGGTCTGTAGCTTTGCAAACTTTTTTTTTCATATAACACAATAATAAGAAAACGGCAGGTAAAAATATATGTATTTTCTTTGCAGGTTTATCTACTAAACAGTTAAACAAAATCTATTACGTTTTCTTGTTGCTTACGAACCCACACCATACTTGGGCTACTCTCCTGCTGAAAGCCATAATTTGTTGACAAAAACCAGTGGAGTTTAAAACAAGAAAATGACAATGAAATTTAGACCATAACAAAACACGAATGAAATCAGGTTCAATCAAATCTTTTTTTTTTTTTTTAGATTAACTGAATTGGATGAAGCAAATTTTCTGGCCACTAGTGTAGTTTGTAATAGATTCCAACAATTTCTCCAGTGTTATATACAAGTAAGGATGTTTAGAAGATTTGGATTCTATCCTCAGAGTTCTTACATTTGAGAATGATAAGTGAAACACTTAACCACTTAACTAGAAGAAAAATCTCAAAGTGATGTATTACCCAAAATTGGTGCAAGATCACTTATTGAAAGCACTTCACAATGCCCAAGTCAGTTCAAAACAGGTATGGCCAGAAAAACGTGTACCTTGCCAATACAAGTATAACATGTTGACTTATTACTAGGTCCTGACTGCACGGCATGTGACGTCAAGCTGGTCAGCAGATGGAGTCCAGAATGTATGACTGTGTGGTTCCAATGTATCAAACTGAGCAACCATATAATGAAAATAATCCTGGTAGCCCAACAGTAAAAAATGGAACAATATGGTAAACTTCAAAGCAGTGACTAATAAGCCATTGGTCGTGTTAGTGACTATATTGCTACAGATATAAAGGGGTGTTATAGAAGGAAAAATACATATAAGTCATATGTCTTTAGGACCAACATGTTACATAGTGCTTCCCAATTGTAGAAACAGTATATTTAGAGGTAAAAAACCGTTGCCCCTCAATAATACACCGGACACCTTCTTAGTGGATAAGGGCAATGGCCACAGCTTTATTAAATATTAATCTTAAACATTATCCAAAAACCCTGTCAGCTGTTGAGTGGATGTCCAACAGACAGTTCTCCAACCTTTTTTCATAAGCCTAAACAGCCAGCACTTGCCATCAGCTCCCGTGCAGGCTGTCATCTCCCCAAAGCCACTCTTCGTCTCATCCTTTTTTCCCTCTGCGCTGTCCAGGATACCATGAGATGCTCGACTGGAGTCCCACATTGAATATGTCCAACCCTATTGGTGACAGGTGAACCCCATCCCTTCACATGACATTAGAGTTGTCCCGTTCCAACTCAACGTGGCGAATTGCCAATCCAGCCACGTGGCGAATTAATCTCAAAACCGTCATGTTGACTTTCCTCCTACAATGTTCCAAACCCTTCACATGGAACTCGCCCGCTATACTGGGCGAGGAATGATTTCTGACCAAACTAGAGTAAATTCCTTAAATAGGGTGAAGCAACGCGCCATATCCTATTTCATAGCATGGATGAGATCGACTCAATTGCACACATTCTAAATAAATCTGATCCCAGCATAACCACGTTAAACCCCTCCAACGTACCCGGACAGACTCATTGGAGTAAACCCAAGTTATGGCCATACGCTCAGTCCTCCCTGTGCCTGGCTGCTCAGTACACATATGAATGACCCAATATCCACATAAAGCGCAGGCCCTTACCTAGAAAGAAACAACATGCAAAGACCACAGAACAGAGAAAAAAAGGGGGAGGGTGAACAGAGGAGAACACCATTATAACATATGCAGACAAACATATAGCTGATAACGTCCCAATTTCCACCGACCCAGCCACTTTAAAACCTCTGGAGAGACCCATCAGACTAGCCTGCGTAGCCGCCCCTATACAGAAAGAATGGGCCCAATACTGATCCGGATCCAATCCAACCCCCAGGATGCATACCTAAGAGAATCCTTGAAAACTGGAACCGGCTCAGTGATGTCCCATCCTGATGAAGCAGAAGGGAACCCTCTACAACACCCCGAAACACCGGGTACTCTTGTACCAAATGGACTGGGCAAAATGAGCCACCCGTAGCCTGATACAAACCCGAGCTCCCATGCCTGTTTGGTCCATCTTCGACCTGTGAATCAAAAAAACTATACCTGAGGCAGTCAGCGACAAATTCTCCCAACACAAGGGAGACTGAGCCGAAGCACGAGAGCTTGATTCCCCAATCATTAACGAGCTGAAGAAGCATAACAAAAAGGCCACCCGAAACAACCGTACCTCGTTTGAAGAGGAACACACCTGTGTAAGGAAAGTCAACAGCCGTATCAACACCTTGAAGGAGATCAGTCACCGCTTATCTGGCAACACCGATTCCACCCTTTTATCATCAGAGATGCACAAAACACCTTCGACATGTCCTCCAAACCGAACCATCGACACAAAAAGGACAGAGCAGAATGACGACTCGCAACCAACAAAGTCTTACCTGCCGCACATAACGACTCCAAGAGCTCCAACGTAGCACTCAACCTGCCTGCCTCTGACGACAGACATATGGCCGATCTCATGCCCCACCAGCGCTGCCATACCACTGTGTAGGACCTCCAGGATGACTCCGATAAAGACCCTCTGACCAACCACCTCAAATGTCTGCCATTAGGTCCCACAACTCTTGTGAGCAAGGCTCTCCCTTCTGTGCCACCTCCAGGGCCATCTCCTGAAATGGGTCCCACTGTAACCAAGAAAGAGAGTCAGCGAGGACATTCAAAGCACCTGGTTAGGATACCGGTTGAGCCACGGACGCATCCTTACCACACTCACTGGCATTCTCCAACCTAGGAATGTTGTCTCTGGCCAGACTCTGACCCTGCTTACCTTTTCTGAAGCATCGCAACCCTGGGTGTTCTCCTCCATAATTCGAGCACTCGTACCTAAATCTGCAAGCGCCGTACCACTTGCAGTGGCTCTCATTAAATAGCCAGCAAACTCTTGCTGACACGCCGGGCTGTGCACCAGCCCCTTCTGGAAAGGGGGCTGGCCAGCAGGGGGTCATCAACAACAGCCATAAGCTGCTATCCTGTACCCCAAAATCAATACCCTGGCTAACCGTCATCTTTTGGCAAAATTGCAGGTCGTAGCGGAACCAGCATTGCCACCCATAGATCTTATAAGCCCCACAAATAAGATCTGAATACCCAAACAATGCCGGGGCCTTCTCAGGGAAGCTCTCCGACACTATGGTCGCATAAATAGTAAACCCTTGGAGCGAGTTTTCAAAGGTACATGGAATC